ATCTGGGAGTGCAAGTCATTTTGCCAAGCATTTTTAGCTCTTTTTACCTATGTATTCTTCCACATGAACATTAGTACCATACTAAGTAAGCATATAACCACACATGAATATTAATTGTATATTCATATTCAATATTAATATGAATAATAATTTATAAATTAATTCTGAGAGAATTGACATCTTCAAACTATTAAGACTTCTCAATCACACATCTAGCTTTTGATAAAATTTAACGACACAGCTCACAGCTACTATCTCTGGCAAGAACCCCGAGGGTTGTAGTCTGTGTTACTGAACCATAAGCTTTGACAGTCAATGAGGCAGAAGCAGGAATGAACCATAAGTTTGACTCAGAGGCCAAAAGACCTACATGTTTGTGACCAAAAAGTCCCAAGAGACCTGGAACTCTGGCTCACTGCAATTTTTGTTCATTATTTTAATTAAACCTCTCAGATAAACTGCTCTTTAGTTTCTTTGTAAATGTAAAAAATATTAAATTTAAGTTACTCTTATTGTGCTTACCACTTCTCTTCTTCCTCAAACTTCTTGGGGGTGTTGTGTGTCATAGACACCTCTGATAAGTTTTGCTGGGAAAAAAAAAATGAAGGCTTAGTGTTCACAAAATTAAGACATTTTTTTCTTACAGCAATCCCTTTCTGACCAATAAGATTTTAATCAACAAGTTCAACCATAAGAAATTACTGCTCTTAGATTCTTATACGTACAAAAATGGCAATTTCATATGGTTCAGCTTAGTGGCTAATGACAGCCCCTCTCAACATGTTTCACTTGCTTGGTGTCTGCTTGCTTTTTAGATCTCATTCCCTTTCTGGCCATGATGTATAGAAAAAATTAAGTTTTGTTTCCTAAGGTGTTTAAAAGATTAACATAAACATCTATGTTTTCTAGAATGGAGGAAAATTGGTGCATATATGAATGTTCAGTAAAGGCTAAAGCCTTCCATCTCATACACAATTTACTTCATGAAAGAACCCTTTCCTGTAATTTATTTGACTTAGCTGCCTAAATAATCTTTCTGAAGCGTGGAACATACTGTCAGTTCAATGACCCTCTCAAGTTTAAGTACATCTGTAAACTCTCAGCTCAGTAGTCTAATCCCATCAGTGATCTTCCCACCCTGTCTCTTGTTATCCTTACCACGTGGTCACCATTTCAGGCTGCATGGTCTGTGCTGAGGTTCCAAAACATGACTTGTTCATTTTTGGCTTTTTACTTTCAGTTTATTATATTGATCCTGCTTCCTCCGACTCCTTCACTATCATCTACGCTATCTATGTCTATCATTCTCAGATTCCAAATCAAGGTTTTGTCAACTGAAAAGAACCCAAACTCTGTAAAATAATTTAAAGAGGTTTATTCTGAGCCAAATGTGTTCAACCATGGCCCAGAGGGCTACGCCCAAGAAGCCTTGAGCAAGTGGTCTCACCATGATTGGGTTACAGTTTGGTTTTATACATTTCAGGGAGACAGGAATTACACGTAAAGTCATAAATCAATACGTGGAAGGCATACATTAATTAGTTTGGCTTGAAAAGGCAGGACATTTCGAAGCGGGGCATTACAGGTTATAGGCAGGTTTAAAGATTCTTTGATTTGTAATTGGTTAAAGAAATAAAGCTTTGTCTAAACGTTTGGAATGTTTTAAGTTAAGGAAGTCTGTTAATCAGAAACAAGTCATGGGACATATATGGGGCTTATACCCAGACTTATGTGATCTGTTCAGCAAATGGATGACCTGCAGGTGTGGCTTAAGTGTTGTCTTGTATAGCCTTAGGCCTCTTAATGAGTTACAAAGAGTATCCCTAAGAAGGGACAAAGGGGGCATGAGGGGGATGTCCGACTTCCCTTCTCATGGCCAGCAACTCAGCTTTGGAGTATTTCTGGGGTCCCCTTGGCCAAGACAGGGTCCATTCAACTGAGGAGCTTAAGATTTTATTTTAGTTCATAATTCACTCACTTCCAGGAGACCGTGGGAAAATCCAGCCCCACAGTGCTTTCTAAAGCACTTATCATAATCGGCTCTATACCATATTCTGCTTATCTATGCATCTTACCTTCCTAGTAAGGCTTCTTCAGCATAGTTCACTCGGCTTTGGGCTATCTAGGCAGTAAACATCTTGATGACTGCAGTATGCAAGATATTTTAGTTGGCTATTTCAGTTTTCATTCCACCCGTAATGGTGATGATTGGAATGAATATTGGCCCAAAGTGGATGAGACGTTATGCTGCAATGGAGTATGACACCATCGCCTTATATTGTACCAAAGCCTCTACCAAGAGAATACCCTGGACGTTATTCTATGCACCCTCCACATTCCCATTTTTGTACCTCACTTTTCCTTCTTTTAAACCAACAGGACCTGACTTTTGCTAAATGGTTTGTCCCTTCAAGTACAGCTATGGTAGAAGATGTTCCTTCCCAGGGCAGGATGAGGTATTGACCCAGGAGAGGGCATAGGCTGCCAGCAAAGCTTTTAGAAATCTCTTTGTTGGCTCAGCTTTTGGACTTCAGGAAAAAAAAATGCAGACAGAAAAAAGTGACAAGAGGTTTTCACATTTTCTTAAAAAGTGCTTCTTTGTGGTTGATGTTTTCATATGTTACATTGTCCCTTGAAGATTATAAGTCACATTCACAGCAGTCTGCCCTATTATCTTCCTTTCGAGTTTTAACAAGTTTATTAAATAAAACTTGCACATATTTAGGATGTTTTAGCTAAAGTCTTACCTCTTTCTGGCTTTAGTAAGATGAGACCCTTTAATATTTAATACAACTTTATTTTACTGTAGTATAATTTAATCAAACAATGAGAATGGTTTGGCTGGAGCATTCACATAACGTTATTACAATTTTTTTATTCTTTTTTTTAGTATTGTATCTTAAAATATTTAGGGATAATACTTTTCCTCACAGTTTGAAATCTTTTCAGATGTTTCTGAAACTCAGAATAAAGCTACCAGATACATCTTTTCTCATTTGATGTATTGTTTATTCCTTCATGGTGTAGAAGATCACAAATACTATATCCATTATTTACGTGAGAGGAAGTTGTAAGGTTACTACTTAAATATGTTATATTGTCTAGGCAGTGATACTGTTTTATTTTCTTAAATATTTAGAAAAGCTAATAGGCAAAAACTATACTATTATATATTTTTTTACTATGGTTGTATGCGGTTAGAATTTAATAACTGTTTTGTTTTTCTCAGAAGTAGAATTGGGGTAAAAATCTTCAAATTTTAAAATATATGAGCATTTCCAAATACTCATTTTATTTTTAAATTTCCTTTTATCCATCCATGGCTTCGAGGCATCATCTTCTGCTCTGCATACCTTTTAATCTTAGAGTTCAGAGAATTGTTTTCTTTTTTTTTTTATTTCTTTTCTATTTTTTTCTAAGTCCTAGTCTTCACAAGGAAGCTAGAAGTGTGACAGAAAGGTGTGATTTTTAATTTACACCAGAATCTTGCAAATAATGACTTTTCACACCCCGCTATTGCTGCTTAGCCTAGGGGAGGAGTTCTGTGGCTACTGTTTGTCATAACAAATTAAATCCACTGCTGTAATTCAGAAAGACGTTCTTCTATATTTAACCCTTGTTTTCAATTTTTCATCTTGGTGTTTTTGAATACCTATGAGTATGTGGCTTATTACTTTGAAGTGTACTTATTTTCTAGGAAATGATTTTTGAAGGCTATCTTTTCAAGGTTGTCAAGTATGAAAGGTAAACATCTTTTCCCTGTCCACCATTCTAACTGTGATGCTGATAATTGTTAGTTATTTAAAGATACAAAAATGAAAAATACAATAATACTTATTTTAGAACTTGAAGCAATAAAATTGAAATACATGAGCTCGTAAATAATTTTATCTTTCCTTACGATTTCATTTCTCCAAGAGCAGCTTTTTTTCTGTCTTTATAGAATATCTTACAGTATAAATAAATGTATGTCGTTTAGTTTGAAAGCTGAAATTGTAAATAGTGTTAAAAGATGAAAATGTTTTAAGTCTTTTCTTCAGTTTCCTCCCAGTCTTTTGGATTGAATTATAAAAACAAGGAATGAGTTGCCTAAGGGAAAATACGAAAAATTATTAAAATGAGTGTACTTGTTTTAAGTTTACTAAGTGGTTAGGGAAGAGTGGCATGCAAAAACAACTAAATAGTTAAAGAACATATCTTGCAAACTCTGTATATGCTTCTTTCACTTAGACAACTATTAATATATTCAGTTTTCCAATCTTAAATCTGCCAACTAAGAAAAAAAAGTTTTCAGTCAACATGGTAGTTTATCCTAGTTACCTTACCAATCATAATAGCGATCAATAAAGTTCTAGAACTGAATGGAATGTGTACGTGTATTATTGAAAGGAAGGACAGAAACATTCAGAGTCTTCTGAGATATTTGGGTCCTACTTTCTCCTCTTGCTAAACCAAAGCAATGATAAGCAGGAAGTTAGAAGCTCTTTCTCCTAGCTAGGAGCAGCAAGGGGTTAACCAGTCTTGGTTTACTAAGTATTTGTCAGGCTTTTATCTAATCCTTCCTCCCTTCCTCCCTTGCCCACCCCTTTTGTAAATGTCAACCACTTCCTGAAGAGCCTGGTAGTGGTGAATTTCACACCTCTCTTTTCTTTGTGAAGAAACCTGGGTGTTAATGGTACAGGATTGGGTGCCATTGTGTATCTCTGGCTGCTAGTAAAGCCCCGGGATGCCTGTGGGAAAAAAGTAGGAGAAGGTGAAGAAATTTGAAAAATGAGACTAGGAAATAGGTTTAAATCGGTCTTCTTTTTAAAATGAATATTTGTTTTATTAGCTACTTTTAAGTGTGTATTGGAAAAATAGTGATTTTGAAAAAGCTTAATATTGAGAGTCCAAAGGAGTCTAGCAAAGGAAGGAGCTGATAAAGAACAACAATCAGAAAGAAAAGCTGGAGAATCTTCTGCTGTCTCACTCTACAGGTGTATTTACAGGATACAGCCATGGAAACTTGGTCAGTTGATCAGGTCTGCAGTTGGTTGATGGAGAAAAACTTAGGAGAGCTAGTTCATAAGTTTCAAGGTGAGTTGTTTACATTTTCAAGAAATTTTAATTGAGCAGCCCAGATATTCTGATGTCTTCTGTTATTGAAAATCACTTTTGTTGCCCAATGTCTGTGTGCATGTGAATGTGGACAGGGAGTTGCTGTAGTAGGGGACTTCTCATTTTTTTATTGACTGTAGCAGTTTCCATTGGAACCTAACATCCACAGGAGAATACAGTATTTCAAGAAGAACTCGAGTAAAACAAAGTCTTAAGACTTAGTTAAACTACATATTTGGCATATGCATTTCATATTGCTTTTGTTCTTAAATAATGCAGCATGTGTTTGTGCAGTGTTGGGTTTAATGTATTGAATAGTAGCTAGAAGATATTACTGGGAATAATTTCCTAAGAATATTTTTTTCCATATAAAAAGGATGCCTGTTAGAGAGAATTAGAAGGGGGAGGGTGTTAATGTGGCAATAAAAAGTTTTTTTGTGACTCCATGTACTGATACTTTCTTAGGAACAGACATCAATTTGGAATGATGCAATATCAGAGTTCTATCTTTGTCAAAAATACGGATAATTTTATAACTGCATAGGACAAGTTTCGATGATCTTTTGAACACCAGAAATAATTTTGCTTGCTCAGAGTGCCTGTGTTTTACAGTGTTTTACCAGGAAGCCGTGCAGAAAACTAATTTTTTCTTTCTTTTTCCCAGAGGAAGAAGTAAGTGGGGCTGCTCTTCTAGCACTTAATGATCGGATGGTTCAGCAACTGGTCAAGAAAATTGGGCACCAGGCTGTTCTGATGGATTTAATTAAAAAATATAAGCAGAACACTCAAGGACTAAAGTCCTCTGGAAGCCCCAAAGAGACAGTTCTGGTCACGCAAACAGAACCAGCCCCAGAGTGAGTATGTTCATAAATGGCCTTATTTTTGATTCTGTGCTTTCCCAAAAATGGCTGTAGCATGATATTTGGGGATTAAAACTCTTTGAAAACTATGGCCATTCTCAGCTAGATTGTGTGTACAGTATTTCTAATATTTGAGTAAAGGACATTTTGCAAACTTTTATGAATCAAGATATATTTGTTTTCAATTCACCACCTCTTAGACACTGATTTCAGTCATTAGGGAAGTCCCAAGCAGGGAGTTCTTATATAAAAAGTTACGGGACAAGCAGTTGAAATGTACGTATGACACAAGTAGAAATGGACTCCTGGAGCTCAGGTTTTAAAATTAGGGTTTGGAACAGGTGTCTTCGTCTGCTCCTTTGCTTTCCCCAAAACTATTTATTTACTTATTTGCCTAGGATTCCTTACAGTAACTAGTTTATAATCTCCTCTGGAGGCCTTCACAATAGAATTTGCTAAACATTCTTGCCACATGAGTTTTCTAAGTTTTTAATAGTATCCTGAGAATAATGAATGCTATAATAGCACCCCAGGAAAATAGTATGTAGAAAAATTTTGTGGTGGCAGATAAAAGCTCTGAGGTTTGGGGATGGTTTTATTTGTTTGATTTTCAATCACTGACTTCTGCAATGAATAGGAAAGATAACAGGATTTATAAAATCAAAAATACCATTTTAACAAATCTATGCCCCTGGATCATTTCAGGCACTCTGATTTGATTTTTCCATATTCAAGACTTTTTGCAAGGTTTCTAAGGTTAACTATTTGCTGCAGACCAATCATTCATCAATTTTAAAAATAAGAGTATGATGTTTGATGAAATCTGTTCTATGTTTTCACTTTAATAGATTTCTCTCTCTTTGATGAGTAATATGTTAAAGAGACCTGGCTTAAGTCATTTTATTTCTAGAATATTTGCATATTTAGAACATGGAGGGAGAAAGGTAGCCTTGAAGGGATGGTGTACAGTTGGACTGGAAATTCTACCAACTGATTTATTTGAAGGATTTCTCCTGAACATTGTTTTGGCATATCTACATAAAGCATACTCTTGGACAAGTGACTTTTGATGAAGTTCCCATTGCAGGCTTTTACTCCTTCCCAGCAAAAGGAGGGTGTGAATCTCAAAGAGAGATCAAAGTAATTTCCAGGCGGTTTTGGATGATTAGGACTTTTGAGCTGGAAGTTCCCTTCAGTTGACTGGAATCTTGATATTGCCTTAGGCACAGCTTACAAGAAAACAGGCAGCCTTGTTTCCACTGCAAATCAGTTTATAATGTTCTCAAGTAAATGAGAACTGGCTGGACTGCCAGGAAATCTGGGCTTCATTCCTAGTTCTACCACTGACGTGGATTGATTATATTAAATGTTGGCATTCCTGTTTCTTCATCTGTACATTGTGAAAAGTAATATGGTACCTAACTCCTTGTTAACTCACACTGATGTTAGGAGTATCGTAATCTTTGAGCAAATCTTCCTCTCCCAGACCAAAATACTCCTGTGTTAAATATGAAGCTTTGTTAGCCTGGTTAAGAAAGCTAAATTTCAAATATAGCCAAGACTGGGAACACTACTTGTTCAAGGATTTATGAGTGGGGACTTTTCACTCTATTCAGTAAGCAGCTGACTCCCTTTAAGGATTGTGCTGTTTTGTATTTAGGTTAAATTATTCTGGTGCAGAATCACAATTGCATGTGAGAAGAGAATTCTGATTGGTTATATTTGGTTAAAAATGCTTATTGGTTATATTTGCTTATTGTCAAATATATTGTTGCTTGACAAAGATATTGTCAAGTGGGAATGATAGTAGAAAGAGGCATGAGAAAATGCTATTTAATTAAACCTTTTAGAAGTGCTTAATAAAGATAGAAAACTTGGTGTAAGAAAGAACCCTGAAGCTAAGTTTCAAAATACTTGATTTCAAACCTCTGTTGTGATATTAGTCACTCATCTAGCCTTAGAAATTTGTTTGAATTTTTTTAGTTTTAGCTTCTTCAACTGTAAGATGAAGCGAGTAGAATAAATAATGCATTAGGTCCCTTCTAAAGGATCTCTAATGGCATTCTAGAACAGAGATAGCAGATGGGTTTCAACTCGAGTGCAAATTCCGCTTAATGGCTAATGGTTGCCTGGTATGTTGTTTTGAAAAGGATTTTTATGCCACATCTGGGCAGGATATTTGGCATCCTGTTCAGACCTAAGGAGATGATAGGCATATGAAATAGGTGGGAATATTTGCAGTTGCTTTTTGGTTATTGCTCTTGTTAAAGCTGGTAGAAAAAAATCACTGGACAGGAAGGTGGAAAAACTGAGTTCAAATCCTGGCACTGCTACTGACTAACTTGTGGCCACAAGCAAGTTACTTTGCCTTCTGGACTTCAATTGCATCACTCAGAAAATGAAGAAGTCAGTGGAGTGTGGTTCTCAGATCATGAGATTACACAGGCAATAAAATGTCCCCCAAAATGGCAGGCAGCAGAGGAGGGGATCTGAGAGAGTTAACCATTTTATTTTACCAAATAAGAATATCAACTTAAAAAGGTACATTCTATGATCACCATCATTTCATAAAGGAAAGAATTACCTTAAAACCATTTGAAAATACAACAGATGGTAAAAATAGCACCATGCCCTGGCATCAGTCTACTTCCTAGTAGGTAGGAACCACTGGGTGAGATAACCCCAAAGGGTCCTCCTTTCAGTTCTCTTAATCATGAGTCTAATGTGGTGCTTGGAAGTGGACACAGACCATAATGTTTACTATGGGCTGACTCTACCCTCAGAGATGCTGTGAGAGTATCTCTGACGATGAGTGGTTATGGCTTCTGCTGAATAGCCCCTGACACACGTCTTCTTTCTTGGTTTCAGAGATGAAGCATCCTCCAGTCCAGCAGGCCTCCGACTCAGGCCTTGCTTAGTTCTGAACAGGACCGAGGGGGAGCAGGCGCCATCTTTCTATCCGGTCAAAAACGTTGATAATGGACAAATTGACCAAAGAGTATTGAAACAGAGGTGGGGTGCCAACTTTAAGACATTTAAAAACCAAATAATGTTGTTCTTTATTTTTTTATGAGATTTCATGTGTTTAAATGTATATCTAATTTAAAACTTTTTGTTTTCCTGGAAAGGAATTTTTTTTAATCGAATGATGAAGATATTTGGTAAAAGAGAAAGATTAAATTTCCTGGTCTTCGTATTGGAAAAGTGTAGCTTTGAAATGTTATTATACATCTTTCAAGTATATATTCTTAAGGAAAATGAGCATTTTTCTGTTCATAAACTGTTTAGGGTGATTGGCAGCAGCCACAAAGACGGAATTTATTCAGGAATAATGAGCTGTAGAACATGACTCTGGTGGAGTCTTTGTTTTTGTTTTGAATTTTGTAGTTGTTGCTTTAACTTGACTGTTCCTGATATGAGCAATGTTTTGGTAAATGTTTCCTTTATGTTCTTACACTGGGTTTTATATGGTGTAGTATTTCAATATATGGATTACAATGGAACAAACAATGGAAAACTGTAGATGGAGAGAAACACACATAAGAATGTGGTGCTGAGACAAAGTCCTGAGGACTATGGTGAGATGTGACTGCAAAGCCGAGAGTATTTCATGGCCACCTGGCCCAGGCAACCTGTGCACCCATAACTCATCATACGTATTGTCTCTGGTCGCTAACAAATAAGTACTTTTCCTTAAATGTGCTATCATTGGAAGAAGAGATTATCAGCTTGCACAGGGAATAGCCAGGCAATAGCCAAGCAGGGGTGTGGTCCTTTACAGTTTGCATGACCCCTTTACATTGTCATCTCCTTTAGTCCACACGGCAGACCTGCAAGGTGGGCATTGTTCTCTTTTTTGTAAATGAGTAAAACTGAGATTTAGAGAAGTCGAGGGGTTTCTAGCTAGTTTTTCCAAAAGGACTGTTGTCACCTCAGCATAGGATCCACCACCATCAGGGTGAGAGCTTAGGGGACCAAGGACAACAGCCTCCGACTCAGGCCTGTAAGACCCCAGCAGCCCTGAAAGTGCAGGGAAGAGCAGCATCTCTGACGAGGACCCTGCAGATGGGCTCTGGCTCTGGGCCGTCCTCTCTGTTCTCCTTCCCTCCCCACCGCCTGCACCCTTGCACCCCACCCCCAACTGCAAGGCCTCAGCTCCTCAAGATCTCCCCGTGTCAGGCCCACCCTCCTCCGCACCACTGACCCGTGTTTGGGGTGGAGAACAAGAAGGTAGAAGGGGTTGTCTAGGTGAGAAGTTGGTTCCCTTGGTCTCCCTGGTTTGAATTATGGTTCCAAAAATGGAAATAGGTTTTTAAGGTGGCTGTGATCCCCTCCTTTCTGCTCATGGGCACTTGTTGATTCCTAGAGCGTTCCTGTGATTGGCTCCAGGTGCGTGGAGTAAGCCACGACCTCTCAACTACCCTTTCCAACAGGGACGGAGCTGCCAACACAGTCAGTCCCGTCTGTAACTGCAGGAGTGTGAGCAGAGACCAGGAGAACAATGAGTCCCGGTGGTGCCTACTCTGGTAGGCATCTACCTCATCTGCAAAACACAAATAATAATGACACTTTCTCATGGTGCTCCCGTGAGCACTAAAAATAGATAATGCCTGCTGAGTGCTAAGCAGAATGGAAGCACATGGAACATACAACATATGCAACCATTTCTCCAGCCCTGCTCCGGGTGGTATTTCTACTTTCCTTAAGACAGCGGTCTCCAACCTTTTTGGCACCGGGGACCGTTTTCATGGAAGACAACTTTTCCACATAAGGTGGGTTGAGGGGGCATGGTTTCTGGATGATTCAAGTGCATTACATTTATCGTGCACTTTATTTCTATTATTATTACATTGTAATATATAATAAAATAATTATACAACTCAGCATAGGTTGGGGATCCCTGCCTTAGGACATCTTTTTTCTCCCTACTTGCTATCAGTGGGAGATGAAGATACAACCTTCTATACATGCAGGTCTATTCTCTTTCTAAGCCCTTTGGTGACATTTGATCCTCATAATGGTTCTTTGATATGGCAGGGCAGGGTTATTACTTACAGGGCTCATCATAGGGACAGACCCTGTGCTTCATGGCATTTCTCATTCTTCATAGCACCTGGTGAGGAGGAGGAAAAAATAGGACTGGCTTAGCAATTAAGAGAAATAGGAGGGTTTGGAAACCACTACCCTATCTTCTTGTCTAATCATAAAGTCCCTCCAAGGCCCTGGACTTGTCTGTTGGCCACCAGCTGCCCATCTCTGCATGAAGCACGTCAGAGTTAACGTGTCTAAAAATGAACTCATCCCCCCAGCCTTCATATATATCTGGGGGTAGGAAACAAAAATCCACTCGAACTATAAAGATAAGAGTTTATTGAATGAAAAGCTTTCCCTGGCATCCAAGGGCAGAACACGTAAGTTCCCCGGACTTGAAGGAACAGGTGCCTGGAGGCAGCAAAGCTGTCCCTCCTTTTCATGCAGGGCCACGCAGCCACCGTCTCTGGTCTCCGTTCTGCTGCCCTGTCTGGTCTGCCTCATGCCCTTGCTTCTCCTTACAAGGATGGATTTATCCTACTACTCCTGGCTGCCTCATTCTCCGTAGGCTGCCTGGCATGTGACTGCCTTGCCACAGCACTAACTGCAAGGGAAATGCTCCCTGAAAACAGCTCAGGTCCTCCCAGTTGCTTCCTTCACTGGTCCAGTGTGGATCAGGTGTCCCCTCCCAGGCCATCAACTGTGTGAAGGAAGACCCGATAAGGGCAGGGCAAGGGTATCTATTTGAAAATTTCCCTTCTGGCCCTCCCCTTTATCCAGTGTCTTATCTCAGACAGTGACTCCACCATCCAGCCCCCGTGAGCTACATCATCTGAGCTAAATCATGGGAGCCACCCTTGATCCTTTCTTCCTGCCCCTGTTCCTGGTTATGCAAGTCATTCAAGTTATTGATGAAGGGCCTATTGTATGGTAGTTCCCCTCCTCTATTCAACATCCTTCTCCTAGCAAGCCTCCAGTGACGTTCCAGGCTAGGCAGGGAGCCCTTCTTCTATCTATAGTAACTTCTGTGTATCGCTTGCATTACTTATAAAACTAGGTAATGAAATTGATCCTTTAAAGTCTCTATTCCCTCTTTAGCCTGTAAGCACCTCAAGGACAAAGACCATGCCCTTTTTGCCATTGTAAACCCAGCATTTAGCTCAGCCACTGGCTCATAGAGACTCACTAGGAGTTTTAAAATTAAATTGAGTGTGTGTGAGCCAATAAGAGACTGAATTATATTTTCATGGGGCAGGATAAATATTTGAATAGCATCAATTTCTTTTTAGACCTTTTGATATAATCTATACTAAATATGCTAATTTTTTTAACAGAGCCAAACTTCAAGGGTTTATAAGCCATTCACCCATAACAGGCCAGAAAGCTAAAGGTGTTTGGCCACCGGGATGTTACAAAGCCAACTGCTTTTAAGAGCGGGGGGGAGGGATGCAGGAGCAAGTGCTGGCTTTGGGATCTCACACGCTGGGTTCAAATCCTGACTCCTCCCCTTGCCCACCAAATTGTCTCTGCGCCACCTGGGATGGGAACACCCACCTTGGTATATAGTCCATGAGGTCCCAGTGAGATAGCATCCAAGCACTTGGCCACTGTTACCACACCATACAAAGTGGCAGTTACCATTCTTGTGATATTTTCCCCATAGTCCCTAAAATGAACATACGCTTTCTATATCAAGATTATTTGCAGACAAAAAGAAAAAGAAGGTTCTAAAAGCTGGAAATTCACCTGACTATGGCTCTTAGAAAGTCTCTAGCAATAGTGAAAATGAGCTGTGTGTGTCCCTGTGGATGAACTGGCTGTCCCAAGGAAACACTAGGGCGCTGTAGCACAATGCAGTTTTCTTCCGTGACAGCTGATACTGTGCTGTTTACTGAATTGCTTAAACTCCCTTTTTGGAAGGAGGAATTATTGAATTCCATCCTCATCATGTGTTAGTGATTTTTTGGGACAAGTGCTTTTTTCTTTTTTTGCAATGTTATTGTTTGTTTTTTGTCTACTGTATTTGAGACTGTTTGCTTCTCCTTTAGTACCTAATAAGGCATGAAATCAGATAAACAGGTAGAGGTTTCCTAACTGTTACTTTAAAGGCATTTCACTTGAACTTGAAATATATGTGTGCAGATGTTTTTGCTTCTGCCTTTGGGCATAATTATAAATTAGTCATGGTTTCACGCATATTTAAAAATTATTTTAATGACAGACTTTTTTTTTGGTCTGGCTACTGCTATGAAGTGGTATAGAATGAGCTTATCCTTCTGCCTGTGCTCGGTGAGAAAGGCAGATGTCAATGCATCTGCAACACTTTTGATGTATTATTTGCAAGCACTTTCACACGGGTAGCTCAGACAAGGGGGCCACACAATTGTGTGTGCATCTTATCCTAGTATGTAATAAAGGGGAGGTTCAATGAAGTGTGCCTGTCTAGTTACAAGTCTTACCAGTACAAGTTCTAGTTAGACTTGTGATTAGTCAGAAGATTCAGTGAGGCTTGTATCTTGGCTGGATCCAAGAAATCACAATGTGTAGCAGTTGATAATAAGCTAGCACTCAAAATCTTAATTATTAAATATGAGGAATTTAAATTGGGGATGTTAAGAAGTTATACACCATTGAATTTCATTTTTTCTCATAGAATTTGAAAGTCCTATCACCTATTTTATTTGTGGAGATGAGTAAAAAGAAATGAGAACATTCCCTTGAATTTGAGAGTCAACTAAATTGGAAGCAACAGTTTCAACCAAGCAAAAAAAAAAAAAAAAACCCATACCTCAGTTAAAAAGAAAAGGAAGCAACAGTTTTAGACTCTTAAGATTCCTCTAATTCATTAAGAAATACTGAAATCTTTTGGTTTGGAGTTTCAAGAGTTTACTTTTTCCCTCGAGCAATGTCATCCACTTTTGTGGGGATAAAATAACCACCACACTTAATAATTCCAAATGAGGTTTAAATGCAGAGAGCAG